GGAAAAACTACAAAACAGGGAATTTGTGTTTGTCCTAGCTGTTGGTTGCTTCCTTTATTGGACAGCAAGTCTTCCTCTGTATGTCAAGTTTTATTTTGATTTTATACCTGTGATGTCAAACACTTTTTTTTCTTTCCTAATGTCCATCATACTTCTACATACAACTTGTAAACTGTGATGCCACAGGAACCAGAAGAATTTCTCCGTTGCTTAGTTAGTGGCAGGTTTTACTTTGAAACAATGGTGCTTGGTAGGATGGTGAAAAGCAGGATCCAGCTAGTCCACCTTACACAGTGTCATCTTTACAGTCGTAACATTTAAAGTAAAAGTTGATATCTTGTTTGTGCTCTAGACTGTTTCAAGCTCTAACATTACAAAATCGGATGATACAGCTAAATTCTCACCGGGGCAATCAAAATATCATTGAATGATTCGATTTAATTTCCTTATATTTTATTTATATAACACCAGTTCAAAACAACAGTGACCTCGAGGTGCTTTATGTTGTAAAGACCCTATGATAATAAAAAAAAAGCAACTCCAACAATCACCAACAATTACAATATAGGAGTTTTTCCAAATTAATACTGTAAAGAAAAATGAAAATAGTGGTAAAAATTCACTTGACTTTTTATGAGAAATGCAGTGATTAGCTTTCATCCGGTAGTCACTATAGATTGTGATCAAATCATAGAATCCTTACGGGGCCATTAGCAGAAGTTCAGATTATAATTCTTCCATCTTGACTTAATTTTTTTTAAATACCTTTTTCTTAAACATGTGTAAGACAGCTTCATTTTGGTCACCATTAAATTTGAAGGTCAGATTTTGTAAGCACTTATTCACAGGGCCACTGGATTTTGCTTTACTGTAATGTACTGTGTACTCTTTATCTCTTCTCCAGGCTGCTGAGAGAGAGAAGAAGCTCCACCTGCTGGGCGAAGAGACTGACCACAGCCACAATGACACACACTCACACAGCCACGACCAAGACCAAACACACGACCACGTACACGATCACACCAAGAGCCACTCTCATCATGACCAAACCCACAAGCATGCCGACAACCACGATCACCATCACACACATGACCATGCCACAGGCAGTGCCCACAGGCACGCTCATGACCACTCCCATGACCACAGTCACAGCCACGATCACGTGCACACTCATCACGACAAAGCACACAACCACAGTAGTGACTTTCCCAACCAACACCACGACTACAAGCACGCTGAAGGTGTGCACACACATGAACATGACCACGAGCTGGCTCTGGACCACGATCACAAGCATGGTCACCTGCATGAACACGAGCACCACCACCATCACCATGAGCACGAACATGAGAACACACCCCACGACCACCCAGAAGGCATGGTGACAATGCTGCCAGCTCTGGGCCAGCCTGTGACCCTGCCTTCCTTCCCTGATGTCCCTGCTGGTGGCCCTGAGCTCGGAGTCACTCTCCCACTTAAACCCGACCCCCAGATTCCTGGAGAAATGGAACCTGCTATCGAGCCCTTCCCAACCTCAGTCTCTGCCCAGTGTCCTGTCCCAAAGGCGGGACGTGACCTGGTGGAGAAATTCTTTGCTGAGGACGCTTTTTTTATGCTTGCTGTATAGCATGGCCTATGGAACTGTTTTAGATGTACACAATGACTCAAGTGTAACAAAGAATGGAAAACTATATGATATATGATACATTTTCAATAAAAACATTCACAGTCATTGTAACACATCACTTCTCACGTGTCTAGCTTCTTATCCTAACCATCAAAAATGAATGCCTAACCCTAAACCCTTGGCCTAAACCTAACTGTAACGGGAATGACGTACCTGACCACATAGTTCACTCATTTAATACACTTTATTCCCGTTTGCTGCTCTCAGAACACTCAGCTGCAGCATTTCAGCTACAGTCACACACAACAACAACAACCAAAACTCCTCAGGTCCAGGCCTGTTTAATAGTGGAGATATGATGAGCTGAT